CTACTTTGATCAGACAACCCTTCTATGTGGGTCTTTTGAGTGCTGGGATTATAGGTGCATGTCACCTTGCAGGTTATCAGCATGTGATTATCTAGCATCTTCTCCTGGGTGTGATGCTAATATCCATTGTCTTTTGGCAGACAGAGTCACCTAGGACACACACCTCTGGGCATGTCCAAGAGGGAGTTTCTAGGTTAACTGCTGGGGGGGGGGGCACGGACCCAATCCATATGTGAATGGTTCTAGTCCATGGGTCGGGCTTTGGGCTGAATAAGAAGGAGAAGGAGAGCTGAGCAAGCATTCATCTTTCTCTGCTTCCTGACTGGGAATACAACGTGATCCGCTGCCTCACACGCCTGCTGCCACGGTGGGCTGCCTCACGTTCCTGCTGCCACGGTGGACTGCCTCATGCTCCTGTATGCCCTTGAACTGTGATCTGAAAACAAACCTTTCCTGTAGTTGGTTGTTTTACTCTTTGGCTCTTTGGGGGCTTGCCACCCAGCTCCCAAATGAATACATATGGAGTCTTATTATTACATGAATGCCTGGCCTTAACTGACTTGTTTCTTGCCAGTTTTCCTTAGCTTAAATTATTCTGTATATCTTCTGCCTCAGGGCTTTTATCTTCTCTATTTCTATATAACTTTCTTTACTTCTTACTCCACAGCCACTGGGTGGCTGACCCTTGGAGTCCTCCTCTCTTCTTTTTCTTGCTTCTTTTCCCCCAGGTTTCTCTTTTTCTTTATTCTCTCTGCCTGCCAGCCCTGCCTGTTTTTCTCTCTTGTGTATCACAAATCCTAGTCGGTCTTTTTTTAAAAATTGTTTTTATTGAGCTATATATTTTTCTGCTCCCCTCCCTTCTAGTTGGTCTTAATAAAAACCCAGAGTCAGATATCAGGGTAAATGCTGAAAGAACAGAGAGACAAAGGAGAGAGCCACAGCCAACTTTTCCTTTGCTAACTCCTCAGCTAAAAAGGGGGCCAAGCTCCTATCTTCATCCTGTCTTATCACTTCCTCTCTCTGTCCAGCCATATCGCTTCCTCTTTCCTCCTCCTAAATGCTGAGATTGAAGGTGTGTGCCACCACTGCCTGGACTCTATGGTTAACTAGTGGCTATCTCTGATCCCCAGGCAAGCTTTATTTTTAGATCACAAACAAAGTATTTCCACATTTCTCCTATTTTGTCTAAAATAAAAATTAAAAAGGTTATAACTAACATAATAAAAACTATATATCATAAGTACAATAACTATATGCAATATATACCAGCAATAAATACATCAACAACATCTAGTCCATTATCAACTGACAAATTTTGAGAAAATACTTCATATCTATCTTATCTTGGTGAATTCAAAAGATTGTACCTAATTCCCTCTATCCCAACTTATATTACCAAGCCAAAGCTATCTTCTTGTGTCTTTGAACTATATACACTTTACATTTCTTTAGTGAATTTTTCTTCTTTCTGTCTCTGTCTCCGTCTCTGTCTCTGTTTGTCTCTCTCTCAAGACAGGGTTTCTCTGTGTGACTTTGGAGCCTGTTCTGGTACTTACTCTGGAGCTCAGGCTGGCCTTGAACTCACAGAGATCCACTTGCCTCTGCCTCCTGGCATTTAAAGCATGTGTCACCACTGCCTGACTTAAAGATGAATATATTTCTTTTTTTTCTTTTTTCTTTTTCTTTTTTTTTCCCTTTGGTTTTTGATACAGGGTTTCTCTGTTAGCTTTGGCTGTCCTGGAACTTGTTCTGTAGACCAGGCTGGCCTCAAATTCGCAAAGATCCACCTGCCTCTACTGCCAAGTGCTGGGATTAAAGGAGTGTGCCACCACCACCCAGTGAATTTTTTTTCTGAATCTGATAACAAGGACAATTTCAACTCCATCAGAGACCCGAGAAGGAAACAATACTACCTGAGTAAGCAGAAAGTGCAGGCATGTGAGAAAACAACTGACTTCCTGAATAGTCACCCAAGTTTCCTCTGTAATTTTGGGGCATCCACCTTTGACCTACAGGCCTAGACTATATGACAGACTTTTCTGTGAAGCAGGATACTCTGAAGGACTGTCCTACCTTGTCTTGGCAAAGTTAAACAGTCACTTTTTTTGTGTCCTGCTTGTCCAAATTGGACTGCATACTGTCTGGAGTTGAGGCAAGGGCACTTGCTTGCCAAGTGGCTTGCTTTTGCCACAAAGAAAGTAAACTTGATATGGAGTTTCTTAGATGCCCATCATCTTCTCTGAAGTAGATTGGTGATGCCAGGGGCAAACATGTCTCGTTGTCATAAAAAAGGCTGTTATTAAAACATATTAAATGCCATATTCTGCAGATCTCTGAAGTGTTTGAATATGACCTATCTAAAATCTGTTTGACCTTGAGGACATACCTAATATGACTACAAGTTCAATTGTAATAGGTGACTAACTACTTTATTTCTTTATTATCCTAAATAGCTTGTAATAATAACTTTCAAGGACTAGGAATTTGTATTACATTGTTAGATGAGCTATATAGGTATGCTGCCTTGAACAAGAATAGAAATGTATGTATAGTATGTTCTAACCAAAATAACCCGAAATTTGTATCAATATAAAAATATCTGTATCAAAATTAAATATTTTAAACTAGTAGTTCATTTTTTGGTTTAAAAGTAGATTCAAACTGGGCGGTGGTGGCGCACACCTTTAATCCCAGCACTTGGGAGGCAGAGGCAGGCGGATCTCTGTGAGTTCTAGGCCAGCCTGGTCTACAAGAGCTAGTGCCAGGACAGGCTCCAGAGCTACAGAGAAACCCTGTCTCGAAAAAAAATATCCCACAACATTCTCCTTTCTTAAGTTGCTTTTGCCATGTTTTGTTTCCAAAAAGTCACTACTGCAGGGAGCGAGAGAGAATGAGACAGCTGTGTGTTCAACGTGACACGCTTTTACTAGGTTTGAATAGCATGCAATCTGCTAGTTCAAGATGGACAAAACATTGTTTTCGCCCTGGTTGGAAGTGGATATTAGTCATTAGGAAAACATGGGCAGGGAAGTGGTGAGAAAGAGCTAAGAGTGGCAGGGTTCACACGTGAGTGGACCCCAGGAGTGCAGGAGCATGAGAGACTTGGTTTGTGTCAGCAAGGCTAGGACGGTTTGTTACACAGCAACAGAAGCAAGCACTGGAAGGGAGGTTTTGGAGCTGGTTGGAGGATGAGGGACCTCCCTAGTGTGGTGACATCTCACCACCAGGGCATGTCCTTCTCTCTGCCCACTGACGGCAGAAGCCCCCAGAAACCCGGAAGCTGCAAGCTTGTCTGGTCAAATGTGAAGGTCTGGGATCTGTCTGCACTGAGACTGAGTTGGGTGGAGCCAACTGTCGGTGTCCCGGTATTGAAAAGGCTGAGGGACAGTGTGCTCCTCGGGTGCATTAGGGACAGTGTGCTCCTCAGGTGCATTAGGGACAGTGTGCTCCTCAGGTGCATTTTACCTGTTTCCGCTCTCCAATCACTCATGACCACGCTGGAAGCCACTAAAAGAATTCATGCCAGGGTTGGGAAAGATGTCTCAGAGGTGAAAAGCACTGACTGCTCTTTCAGAGGTCTTGAGTTCAATTCCCAGCAACCACACGGTGACTCACAACCATCTATTTAAAAAAATTGTTTCTACTTTCTGGTGACCTGACAAAGAATGGCGGACCAGGACTTTGGATCATGCCCTTGACTCAGAACCTAACATCCTCAGCTCTCGGAAGGATCCCTGTGGGTAACTGTGTTACTTTGCTTGTTACTGTGAGAAGATACCCAAGGGGTGGGGGTGGGGGTGAGTCATCAAGAGAGGGGTTATTTTGGCTCCCAGTTCTAGGGTGTAGTCCATCAGGGCAGCAGGAGTCTGATGCAGGAGGGAGGGAGAGAGGGAGGGAGGGAGGGAGGGAGGGAGGGAGGGAGAGAGAGAGAGAGAGAGAGAGAGAGAGAGAGAGAGAGAGAGAGCGAGAGCGAGCGAGCCAGTGAGCAGAGAACGAGCACGGGAAGCTGAATGCTGGTACTCAGCTAACTGAGGAGAACCCTAGAACCTTCACAAACCTAAAAGGTCATACATGAAGATCTGGGATCTTCCCTGAGGCTGTCCCAGACACTGGAGCAATGACCAGAGTAGGATAACACTCACTGTCCTCTGTTTCTCCCCTCTCCTCCCCTTTTTGAAGTCCTGGATCCTAGCCCATGGAATATTGCTGTCCACATCTAGGGTGGGCTTCACCAAAGCTCAGGTAACTCAATCTGGAAATTCCTATAGGCATGCCCAGAAGTTTATCTCCTAAGGGACTGGACATCCAGCCAAACTCACTGGCTCAGTGATTTAGGGCTGGGCGCTCTAGGCAACATTCCTTATTTCCCTCCTTGATGGGCCTCTCTGGTCTTAAACTGGGACCACTGAACTTGGCTTCAGTTTTGTGTCCACCCACCAGCGCTACCATACGATCTCTCTTCTCCTTTGATATTTTCTGGCAGAAGGAAGAGAGGAAGAATTCATTCCCAAGTCCTTCATTAAGACAGGCTTGATGGTGATACAGGGACTGGTGCCCGGGCTGGCGTGGGAAGGGCAAACGCGGGCAGACCCCAAGCTGGGCAAGGGGGTGAGTGGGGGACGCGAGTTTCCTGCCTTTCTTATATGAGACAAAGGAGGTGAGGTCCCTCTAGAATCCGTGCAGTCCAAGGATACTCGAGTTGGGAGTTGGGTAGGGGGACATCCTCAGGGTGTGCGTAGGTGGGTGACGAAGGGCAGAGAAATACTATTTTCTGGGCAGTTGGACCGGGCTGTATAGTCATGGAACTCATTGATTTCACCCAGACGGCACAGCACGTGAGCGACAGGGCGGGAAAGGATGCAGGGAACCTGCTGGTCGCTTGAGCGGTCGAGCCCTCACCTCGGGGCGGTCCCTCGGGGGTTCCAGCAGGGGGCGCCCCGAGCCCCGGGCCGAGTGTCCGGGCGCGCCTCCAGCCGGCGCCTGGGACGGGGCTGGCCGCTCCGCCCCCTCGACTCCCCGGCAGCTCTGCGGGAGGACGCCGGGCGCAGGAGGCAGAGTTGAGCAGAGCGAGCGCCGCACACCCCGCCGTGTCCCGGTACCCGTCCTGCCCGCCGCACAAGCAGCGCAGCCTCTCGCCGTGAGTAGCGCCCGGGACGCGGGACTCGACGGCAGCCGGGGCTGGGGTGGCGGGACATTGCCTGTCTAGGATATGGCCCTTCTGCGGTTTGTGCGTTGTGGCAGCACCCGGAGGCCAGTCTGCACGCTGCTTACCTCGGGGTGCCTCCTCTGCTTGACACTCTGATCCTGGAGACGCGGTAGGGAGACGGACAGTGTCTGACATCTGTGTAGAAGGGAAAGAGCGCTACATCAAGTTGGCTCCCTCAAAGGGGACCAGTTTCTGTAGGAAGGAGACAAGCCCAGTCTCTGTGGGGGCTCACACCTCCTCCTCCCACCTCGGCCCAGGAGGTTACTTCCTGTGAAATGAACCTCCAGTGTGGCCTAATGAGTTGTGGGCAGGTGGAGGGACACTCCCTGGCGCCCTGTCCTCTTGAATCTGAAGGCAGCTGGGCGCTCTTTTGGTTTCTGACATTGGTTCCCAAATACGTTAGCATCCTAGGGGAATTTTTGTTGACAAAGAGACCCTGGCACCTTAACTGCTTCAGAGTTAAGCTTAAAGCCCCGTTTTCCTCCCCATCTAGCCTCTGTTAAGTTTTTAGCATCTAAAGTGATGGCATTGCTAGCCCAGTAGCTTGCTGGGAGGCTCGAGGAGGGGTCAGGAATGGGTGGGTTATCTGCTACCCCAGGGGCAAGCTTCTTGCTGGCAGGAATAAAAGCCAGCTGACCCTGACCACCTTTCTAGAGCCTTCCATCCTGTCAGATGGTGGGGGGGGGGAGGGCAGGGGGAGCAAACAATCCAGCTGCCCAGAGAAGCTGAACCTTCATCAAAACATGGAGTTTTTCTCATGTCAACTCAGGGAGGCAGCTTCTCCAACCTTCTCTGAGCCCTAAGCTTCCTTATCAGGGATTGTCCAAAGGGGTTCTGTGATGCTCAGGTCCCCTCCCTTCTTCTGGCAGCTTCCCCAGAGCCTGAGTTATTCTTCATAGGTGTGTGTGGTGTTTCAAACCACTGCCTGCCCGTGTCATAGCCTGGTTTCTCTTACTGGATTTGGCTGAGGGAGGGTGAGACGCTCAGAGAGTTAACATCAGAGTGAGGTTTCATAGAATGAGGGAAGATAGCAAATATTGGGGTGGTGTTCCAGACTTGGGCATCTGCTCCCTCCTTGAAGTTGTCCCCCAGAAGGCCACAGGCTTTCCAATCCTGAGCTACCCTTGAAGGAGTTGGGTGGCTCTCAAGAGAAGCCCTGGGAAACTTGATGGCGTGGGTGTGTGATGGTGGGTAAGTCCCTTCCCCTGTCTGGACCTCCTGTTGTCAAACAAGTGAGTGAGACCAGACCCCAGTGGGTTCGGACTTTTGTTTTGAGGTGAGTTTTTACCCCAAACCCCAGTCCACAGCAAGGTGTGGGAGTACGCTGGCCCACTTCCTCACCCCGTGACTTCTGAAGAGGAGATTAAACTGGAAAGGTATTTGTGAGATTCCTTTCTGTGGGGTCCTAAGAAGTTACCTCCTAGACTGTTGCTTGGTGTTAGGGCCATGGACAAGAAGGTGAATTACCAGGATTCCTTGGGAGAAAGTGAACACCCAGATGGGTATCATCTTTGAACTGTCTGGAGCTGGTAGCCCGAGTCTCTGATCAAAAATTATAGTCGCATCTCTTGCCTCTGATATGTGGTTTCAGCCTTTCAAACTTGGTGATAATTCTACCTTAGAGTCACTGTGTACATGACTCTAACAGTGTACGTAAGTAAGATGCAGACTGATCTGTGGAGGTGTTAGAGAAGAATGACAGCCGCCACTAGGTGTCTGAGCTGTGGTCTCGAGAAAGGAGGCTGGGCACTAATAGCAATTCAACCATTTATAGAGAACTTGCCTACGGTAGCCACTGCAAAGGGACAGAGGTGAGATTGCTACAGCCTTTGCCCTTTTGGGGCTCCAAGACCGTTCCACATGTATCACCTCATTTGTAAAGTAGATATTTATGAGGAGCCTGGAGAGATGGCTGCTTTCCCAGAGGACCTGGGTTCCGTTACCAGCACCCACAAGATGGCTTACAACCATCTTTAATTTCAGTTCAGAGGGTCTGATGCCCCTTTCTGGCCTCTTTGGGCACTGCACACATACATGTAGGCAAAGCAACTGTACACATACAGATAACTACATCTTAAAAATAAGTTTAATGAATAGATAGTAATTTATGTCCCCCCCCCCTCAGGATCTCATATAGCCAAGGCTGGCCTTGAATTCATCATGTAGCTGAGGTTGACCTTGAACCTCGACCTTTGTAGTGCAGAGATTTTTAAGTTTGAGCCACCACGCCTGGTTTATGGAGTGCTGAGGATAGAAGCTATAGCTGCTTTGTGCACTAGGCAGGCACTCGACCAACTGAACTATATCCCAGCACTTTTATTTTTCCATTTCTTTTTCTTTTTGGAGATAGGATCTTACCTTAGAGCCCACACTGGCCTGAAACTTCAGGATACCTCCTGAGTGCTGGGATTACAGGTGTGTGCCAGCCGTATCCAGTGCATTTGGTGCTGGGGATGGAAGCCAGGGCTTTGTACATGCTACATACATACCCTGATAACTGAGGCATATCCTCAGCTCTGTGGAGAAGCAGTCTCCGAATTGAATCAGACAGTATGTAATCTTTTCTCGGGATCTGGTTTCTTTTGTTCTTCACGCTTGTGAGATTTGCCCACATCACAGCACTTCGCGGCACTTCCCTAATTCGCACGGTTGTATAGTGACTCCATTATGTATGCATATTCAGTGGGTCTACCCATTGTTTTCTAGACAGTTCCAGTTTTTAGTTGTTACTAGAAGTTTACTTGTTGCTAAATGGGCCATTCTAGAAAACAGCCACGCAGGTTTCCTAACAGTATGTTCACAGAAATGTTTCCACGGGACTCAGAGTGATTTTTCCCAGTGTGTCTCTCCCCTGGAGTGTCTGGGTATTCCGCACACTCAACAGCATCAGGGTTGACTAGGCCTGTTTTCCGTGGAAGTTAATTTGAAGCTCAGAAGAGCTATCTTGTGCTCAGTGAAGGGCAATGTGGCTGAGCAGCAGAGCTGGGATTTGCCACGTCAAGCACAGGCTCTGTCTTTCTCCCAAACTTATTTTCACGTGTATGATTGCTTTGCCTACATGTAGGTCTGTGCACCACATTTGTGTCTGGTGCCCACGGAGGCCAGAAGAGGATGCCAATTCTGCCGGAAACTGCAGTTACAGATGGTTGTGAGCCACCATGTGAGTGCTGGGACTTGAACCCAGGGCCTCTGCAAGAGCAGTCGGGGCTCTTAACCACTGAAACAAGTCTCCAATCCCTTTGCCTTTCTTTTTGAGACAGGCATAGATTATGGTCTCGAATGAGAAAATTCTAACCTAATCCTATTAGGAGGACTTTTCTAGAATGGGAAGAAGGGAAGAACAGAGCCACGCAGCCTTGCAGAGAAGGTGACTAGACCTTGAGGGAACAGAGCAGCTCTCAGGCGGGCTCCCATGGAAAGAGCCCTCCTAGCGGTGTGGCATGGCTGGGTGAACCCATGAGGACAGGAAAAGTCCACTGTGACTGTAACTCAGGGTATGTGGAATAGGGCGGTGACCTGTGTCTGAGTTCACTTGCCCTCCACTTCACCCTGGTTCATTTTTCTGGGGGAAATCGGGGCTTCTCGGAATCTACCTCAGTCCCTGATGGCAGATGGAGCTGGCCTCTCACCAAAGGGAAGCTCATCGCTGCTGGGACCATTCTTCATGTTCCTGCCGAGAGGAATTGGAGGGGTTTTCTGTGCTCTCTCTGTGGGAGCTTGGTGTTCTCTCCTAAGAGCTGGATGGATGGTTTATTTGGAAGGCGTACTGGTTTTGGGCGTCTTGCAGGGGTAGTGAGAGTAAAGACAGGTTCAGTTTCTGATTCCGGTTGAGTCATACTTGCTAAGAGGACCCCAAAACCTCTTCCTGAGAAGGGAGTTGAACTGATTGACTTCATGCCATAGAAAACAGGAACACAGTGGCCTGGGACAAGTCGTGACAATAAAACCATCCTCCTCTGCACGGTATCTTACATCGTTTTTTTTGCACTGGATCCCCATGCTGGTATGTGAAGCAGATGCTAGGCTTCCTAGGGGTGTCTCCATTTACAGATGGGGGGCTGAGGATGAGAAAGGGAGCCAGCCTGCTGTGGGTGACAGGGATAGTGGTCTTTTTAGTGTCTGTGCACACTCAGGCCCGCCCCAGCTGCACAGTGGGCATGAAGGGTCATGGGTGTCCACAGGAAGGTGGCCCTGAAAGCAAGATCTGGGAGACAGGCCAGCTCTGTCTGGGGGTCTGAGGGATCTGTGTGCTTTGGCAGAATGAATGAAGGATGGGACACTTTGGTAATGGGGCTCTGGTTTGTGAGAACGACATCCCCTGAGATCCAGAACAGCCCCAATTTCTTGATGTTGGTGAGACCTGTCCTATGTGATGGTCCTTCTACTTACTCAACCTGGAAAGCACAGGCTCTCAGGGTCACAGCCTGAATATAGTTGGCATTTGATTGGCAGGCAGGAGAAAAGCTGCCCATGCTGGCCAAAATGGGCTGCGATACCTTTGCTAAGGACCCTTGAGTGACTCCATAGGCAGCTGGTCATATCTCACAAAAGGGCGCTGTCTTCAGGTGAACTCTTTGGGTAAGGGGATTGCAAGGGAAGATACAAGCCCTGCAGTGAGGGCTCCCTGGGGCTCGAACTGCTCTGTGTCTTTTGCTGAGGTGTCCCGTGCAGGCGGAGGTAGCTGCGTGCCACAGATGAAGAAACTGGGTTCCTCTGCCAAGTGATGAGGTCATAGAGCTAGATGCGGGTAGTACTGGAACCAGCACCCCAGGCTCCTGGCTCCTGGTGCTGTTTTAATTTGTCATACCGTCCCCACCCATGTTCCCTGTGAGGTGATGAGTGAGCACTTACCAATCCGTTCAGACTCGCTGTCGGGTGGCACAGCCCCCAAGGGAGCTGAAGTCATAATAAATCCCTTGTCTTTCCACAGTACTTAATCGCTCATGAAACAATTTCATGACTTGAAATTGATTTTTACGGTATTGGTCCCATTTTACAGATGGGAAAGCTGTATGTCTGGTCACGTAAATGATGATTTGCCCAGGTAAAACTGGGTCTTACATACTGGGCAAATATTCTACAGCCCTATATTTTAGCTTTTAAAAATATTATTTTATGTATGAAGGTGTTCTGCCTGCATGCTTATTTGAATATCACATGTGTAAACAGATTTTTCTTTGGGCTGCCATCTCACAAAAGATGACATGGAGATTTATTATTATTAAAGCTTGGCCTTAGTTTAGGCTTGTACTTAACTAGTTCTTATAACTTAAATTAACCCATATTTTAAAATCTATGTTCATTTATATGGCTTGGTTAACTTTACTCTGTTTTTCCCATCCTGCTTCCTTTCCTGCTGGTAACTAAGAGCTCTTGCTCTTGCTCTTCCAGAGTTCCCAGAACACATGGAGGGGCTCACAGCTGCCTGTCAGTCCAGCTTCAGGGCATCTGATGCCCTCTCCTGGCCCGCTTGGCACCTGCACTTGTGTGCACATATCCACATATAGACACATCCACATCCACACACATAAAAATAAAATGAACTTTAAGAGAGGAATGAAATCTATGTCTTAGCATCACTACTGCTGTGATGGAATACCACGACCAAAGCAACTTGGGGAGGGAAGGGTTTATTTGGCGGACACTTCCATATCACTGAAGAAAATCAGGGCAGGAGCTCAAATATGGCGGGAACCTGGAGGCAGGAGCTGATGCAGAGGCCATGAACGGGTGCTGCTTACTGGCTTGCCCAGCTTGCTTTCTTATAGAGCCCAGGACCACCAGTCCAGGGATGGAAACACACACAATGGGCTTGGCCGTCCCCTATCAATCACTAATTAAGAAAAATGTCCTACATCCGGATCTTAGTGAGGCATTTTCTCAATTGAGATGCCCTCCTTTCAGATGACTCTAGCTTGTGCCGTTGACATGAAAGTAGCCAGGACACTCGACATCATCTCCACAGGTGGGCCGCTCACACAGACCCGTCCTCAGAGAACAAGGCTGTGGGTGACTGAACCTCTTTTCTCCCTGCAGTTGGTTGCTTTTCAGACCCAGACTCTTCAGCTTGTGCTAATTTGCACGGCCGTCCTAAGCTTAGGTTTCTTTCCATTTCAGGATTGTATGGTCCAGGCCTCGATGAGGAGCCCAAACATGGAGACGTTCAAGCAGCAGAAGGTGGAGGATTTTTATGACATTGGAGAGGAGCTGGGGAGGTAAGAGATTGCGTTGAGAGGTGGAGGGGTGTCCCATGGGCCCACTCACTTTTCTGTTGCCTGGTTGGGGTTATAAAGCTGGTTTGTCACAGGGCTGTTGGGAAGCTTTCCAAACAAGCCCGGGGTTTATCCACCCTCTTGGGTGACGCTGCAGATCTGTCGCTCTCTGTAAATGACGTCAGAAGGGCTGCACAGCTGGGGTCTGTGTGTTCTGTATAGTCTGACAGCTATGGGACAACCTCATGAAACCTGTCCTCTTTCCCCCCATAAAGACCTCTCTCCAGGTTGGCTGGACATCTGACTTGTTGGTTTTTGTTCCTGGTGTCCCGTTGGGGTTCTCCATGGTTCCCCAGGATTTTCTTTTTTAAACTGGAGCCTGAATGGGAGGTGGAGTAATCCTCCTGAAAAGGGATTTATATTGAGTAACAGCCTTACCAGCCTCTGCAGGAAGGTCCTGGGATCTGAGCTGTTGGCTCAGCCGAGAGTAGGGCTTAACTAAACGTTCTTCTCATTTCAAAGTCATTATTTTGTGAAGGGAGAAATGAGATTTTCTGAAGACCTCCCCTCCCCCCCAAACTTCCATTTTTAAAAATGGGTGATGTTTAGTGACTGTAAGACACCAGTCCCAAAGCCCTGGTCTCCAGACCACGCAGGGAATGGCAGTCCCTTTGTTCCTGTCACAGGGAGACTGCGGGGCAGGGTTGAAGTGAATTTCTCAAAGTTGCTGAGGGCAGCGAGCAACAAAGCTAAGGTTCTGAGCTGCCCAGTTTGTCCCTGCACACTTGTCCGGCTCCCTCCTGTGAGCAAGGCGCTTGCCCGCTCAAATGTGTCCCAGCCCCTCACACACCCAGCAGAGCAGGGTGCCCGTGGAACCAGACAGGTAAAACAGGAAGCCTTTCTCCTTCTTTAAAACTGTCGAATTAGCACAAATTCTTATATCCTTTGTTTTAAAGGCAAACAGAACAAAGCCAGGGAGCCTTCTTCCAGGAAGGGAGGTGGCAGGGAGGGGGTGGGGCACGGGTCAGGGGGTGGCCGACCTTGCAGACTGGTCCAGTAGGAGCAAATGTCTGTCCGCGGACTTCAAGGACTCCTCAGCCTTCTGTTACTAATCTTGGGCCTAGAAAAGTGGTTCTGGATGGAAAACCAGGGTCTCTTTGCTGCAGGCTCTTTTGCACTTCGACCCCCACCCCCGACCTGGGAAACAGCACCTCCTGGCCGAGCTGCCAGAGGAGTTGGTATCCCTTGCCTTAGCCTGTGTTCTGTGCCGTGGGTACAATGATGAGCAAGGTATTATGTGCCCCTCCTCGAACTCCAGCCTGGCTAGAGACGTGCTTGATAACAAGGCCTTGGTGGGACTGGACTGTTGCCCGAGGGGCAGAGAAATTGAGAAGTTGGCTGGGCGAGGGTCCTGGGGAAGAATGCAGAGGTTGTTCCTGGAGAATGTTTGTGCCATCCCCTCCTTGCCTTGCCCCTCCGCCACTTTGGACCTGAGCTGTAAGAACTGGGAGACAATCGTGTTTGCAGCCCCTCCCTTGCTGCGAGTGTTAAAGGCTGCACACGCTCAGCCTGGCATCCTCCCTCCCCAAAGTGCTGGCTAGACAAAAGGTTGATAAGAGTCATCAGAGACCTGGGACCCGTGCTCAGACACGCTAAGACTTGGCTGGAGCTCAGGTGAGCTAGAAGGCCATGAAAAGGCTTCCTTCCAGGATCCCTGTTTAGCAGTTGGAACTAAGGTTCAAGGTGGGGATGGGTCCTGTAGGTAGTTATAGAATGGGTTGGAATTTGAACTGCCTTCAGGTGACCACACAGTTACTTTGGGGGTGAGAGGTGCTGGAGGACCAGCCCAGGGTGCTCTAGCTACTGAGTGACATGGTTAGCCCGCAACCACTCTGCTTGTTAAAAAGGTTAATCCTATTCTCTCTCCGTGATTCTCTGCATGTAACACACTGAGGACCTACTGTGTGCCCGGCCTTGCCTAATGCAGTGGGAAGCATCCTTGCAGCCTGTGATTTATTGATATAGAGAGGCACTCAGCAAGTGGATTACAGAGGATGAGTCATGGTCAGGTCACATATGGAGGGAGAGGACAGAGTGCTCCGAGGGAAAGTAATAGGAGACATGTTTGAAAGAGGCCGGTGAGAAAGTCCGCTCCGGGCTCTGGCCCCCGTGCTGAGGACAGATCATTGTTGGTACACACAGCTTTGATTCCTGGTCAGGGTGCTGGAGGTGGTCTGCTGTCCCTAGTGTTTAGAGAAATGCTAGCTTCTATCGTCCGACCTCTCCCAGCCTTCGTAGCTACCAGTGGGGCAGAGCAAGGGACTGAGGCAGGCCTCCTAAAGAGAATCCCATTTAACCCATTGTTTTATAGGGGGGGGGCTAGGATGGGTGGCTCATTCAAGGTCACAGAGTGAGTGTGTGCTGGGATGAACTGGTGAAGACCCACAAACAGCAAATCATCTTCCTTTATCTGAATGCCTTTTTCTGTTTCCCTTTGAGGCTAGGTGTTTGAGGCCAATGTTAGCAACATAGTAAGTCCCCTGTGTCTGAAAGCTAAGATACACACCCCAGTCTCGGTGCTTGGGAGGCAGCGGCAGGATCTCTGTGTGTTGGAAGCCTGCTGGTCAGTTACCTGGTAAGACACTGTCTCAGAAAAAAAAATCCGCATTAAATCATCAGCTATTTTTATTTCTGAGTCTCTCCTCTCATCTTGCCAAGGGTGTTTCTCACACTTGTACACACCCCTACTACTTTGTGTCCACTTGTGCATGGGGTTCACATTCCTCCAAGTGCTAAGGAGGCCCAGAAGGCAGAGAAGCCCGCAGCTCAGGGAGAGGCCAGGCATGAGATTAGGCCTATCTCCCCTTTGTTTGTGCTGGGCTCTTTGATGTCAGGTCCACATCTAGTTTCTTATCTCAGGCATCAGACCACACTGGAGCTAAGGCCAGAGGTCCCCCAAACTTCTGTGACCTGTCCTTCCCCTTACTGGTTCCCTCACTCTTAACAATTATACTTTTAGGGGGCTGGAGAGATGGCTCAGAGGTTAAGAGCACTGGCTACTCTTCCAGAAGAGCTGAGTTCAATGCCTAGAACCCATATGGCAGCTCACAACTGTCTGTAACTTCAGTTCCAGGGGATTTGATATCCTCTTCTGGTTTCCATAGCACCAGGCTTGCATTTGGTCCACAGAGATACATGCAGACAAAACACCCACATACATGAAAAAAAAAATATATACTTTTTTTTCTTTTTCCTGAGACAGGGTTTCTATGTGTAAGAGCCCTAACTGTTCTGGAACGTGGTTTGTAGACCAGGCTGGTCTCCCAAAGGCCACAGAGATCTGACTTCCTCTGCCTCTGGAGTGCTGGGATTAAAGGTGCCACCACACCTGGCTACTCTTTCTTTAAGATCCAATTCAGTTGCTATCTCCCCAACAGCCTACGGTGACCCACCCACTTCCATCCCATACTCTTCCTGAAGAATCGGCTAGCTTTTATTCTGCACCCCCACATCTATAACATCCAACTTCATATTACACTAAAGTGTTTCCCCGTGGGACTGAGGTCCTGCACCATCGCCTGGGCTTCTGTGTACATCAGCTTTTATCCTGTGGTCTCCGCCCTGCTCTGTGGTGTCCCCCCCCCCCCCGTCCTTCTACACCTGATAAGTTCTCAGCACCCACAGACACCTGTAATTAAACACAAGGCTATCTGGAAGCTGCTTTGAGTTAAACATGACAAACACGACGTGGCCAGCCTCCGTCACACCCTTGCTCTCAGAAGCCCTGGAGCTCAGGTAGAGTGGAAAACAGAACACAGAAGCAATTCCCTCCACAGGACACTCGCCATTAATTCTTTGGCTAAAAAAAAAAGACCTATTAATTAATTTTGTGTGTGTGTACATGAGTGCGGCTACGCTGGAGACCAGATGCCGAGAGCTGGAGTTACAAGAGGTTGTGAGCTGGTCAACATGAGTGACGGGTACTGAACTCAGGTCCTTTGCAACAGTAGTGCTGGCTTGTAACTGAAGCCTCCTCTCCAGCCCCATTGTATGTAATTCTTTTAATTATTTGCTTACATTTTTTCTGTGTATGCATACATATATATGCGGTCATCTGGAGTTGGTTTTCTCCTTCCATTATGTGGGTCCTGGAGTTTGAACTTAGGTCATGAGCGGAGGCAGCAGGTTGCTTTATCCTCTGAGCCATCTTGGCAGCCCCTGTATTTACCTCTTACACCACCACATGATGCAGATACTATCCCCATCCTGCAGATGAAGAAGCTCAGCCTCCGCAGCATTGAGTAACTACCACAGGGAACAGAACTGTGGGACCAAGAAGTCAAGTGATGCAGCAAGCCTCAGAGAAACTCAGGCCTGAGAACCAGGGACTCTCCCTAGGCAGAGCCTTGCCCCCCATTTGGCTCTGCCACTTTTTGGCTGGTATTTCCTGCCTCTGAGAATGTGACTGGCTGCACGTCAGGGATCTCCTGTCCTTGTCAGCCTGCTCAAAGTCCACCCCGTCCTTGCAGGACAATGTAAGTGGACTCAACATTCTCATTTAACAGTGAGAACAAGACACGCGAAGTTATATGTTCTGGTCACGTCGTCTGAGGCTAGCCAGGACTCTGTTCTAGGGCTGTCACGCTGGAAAGCTCATGTTCTCTTTAGATTTATTTGTTTTATTTGTGTGTATGAGTGTACACATGTGTATATCTCTGTGCACCATGATGTGCCTGGTACCCCCTGGAGGTCAGAAGAGGGGGTCATTTCCCCCTGTAACTGGAGTTATGGATGGTTGTGAGCTACCATGTGGGTGTTGGGAACTGAACCTGGGACCTCTGCAAGAGAAAAAAGTTGTTCCAAACTGCCGAGTTCTGTCTCCAGCTCCCCGATTCCATACTTTAATCAGAATTGGTCAGGGATGTTCTTAGAGGTCATCTATTCTAGTAGAGGCTGGGGCTCAGGGTGGTGAGGATAAAGGTTGTGATTTGCTGAGGCCCAAG